GGTGGTCCGATGCCAGTGGTGTTCCTGGGGTGCAGGGCGGCTTCCTGCTAGCCTGGGGGCTCAGGCACATGGCCCCCCGGGGCGCTGTGAGGAAACAGGAAGCTCTGGCCCCAGGGGAACACAGTCCCCAGGCAGTGGGAACAGTAACTGTGGTTGCCCAGATCACACCAAGGACGCGGGGCAAAATACAGTAACTTCAACCACCCCGACCTGGGGGCACAGATCCCTTCCCCGGCCCAGCCCCCATGTCCCGCCCTCTTTGCAGGGTACGGGAGCTCTGATGGGGGGGTCACCAAATGTGGGGCACCCCAATTGGGTGGGGGCTGGTGGCCCAGGTAGTGAGATACTTCACCCAACGCAGAATAAAAGTTTATTGAATACAGCACAAGCGATCCGCAGGCAGAAGAGCAAAGGAGAGACTGCAACGCGGGTGTGAGGGGTCACAGTATAGTGTGGAGTGAGGAGTATGGAGACGTACGGAATTTGCCCTTTTTGGGTAATCTCGGGAATGGTGCCTGGATGTAATTGGTCAGTTAAGGCCTATGGCTATTGCAAGGTGGATCGCTTAATGAACCTATTTGCACTCAGCTTTCTGGTCGCTGTGGCCCCTTTCTGCCTCACTCAAGCTTCCATTGCTCAAGCCCGTTACCTCAAAGCAGCCTGGACATCCTGTGCCTCGCCTGTGGTAAAGCAGCAGCTAAGGAATCTCAGCATCTCAGAAATTCATGGTGTGAGGGGCTGGTAAGCGCCACGAATCTTTGGCTGCAGGGTTTCTAGCTACCTAGCTGGATCACATTGTTGGGCCCAGGAACGCAAATTGGATGTGATTAGGATGAAAGTTCCCTCTTCCTTGCAGTCCTTTGGGGGTAACAGAGCCAGAGAGGAACCGAGAGTCGGGGGGCAGCTGGAAGTGGCTGAAAGCAAAGCCTGAGTCCCAGTTTCAGGGCTTCCTGGCCACAGAATCACATCTAAGGATATGGTTAAGCCAGCCATCACAGCGCCTCCCAGCTAAGAGACTGCGTGCTCCTGGTCCTCCTCTGATTCCCAGCGAGACCCGGGCGGCGGGGCATGCAGAATCCGGGGGGGGGGGGGGGGGGTGCAGGTGGAATCTCAGGCCTGTGGCACCACGGGCATGGCTCACTGACTTACTGAAACGGAAACTCCAAAACGCAAATCCAAGCTTAATTTTGCATGGAGAAGTAAAGGTGATAAAGGACATTTGTAAATAAGTTACATGTCTTTTTCTCCTTAATGCTACAGATCTCAAAATACACAAACCATCATCCACAACAGAGTGGGGGCATGATAATAACATCTAACTCAGGGTTCTTTCCACGATGAAAGAAGATAAACAGGTAAAGTGTTTTTTCCAGCAGAAAAGTCCCTGGCAAACAAACAAAAAAGGTGTTATGTCACCACTTTCTACTTCTGCAATTCTGAACATCTCTCCTAGGAAGGGAAATACACACGAATTATTTCCCCCCATTTTGGATTTTTTTTATAGATTTTATGTATTTATTTGACACACACATAGAGGCAGAGAGCACAAGCAAGGGGGAGCAGCAGAGGGAGAGGGAGAAGCAGGCTCCCTGCTGAGCAAGGATTCCCCACTCGATGTGGGGCTCCGTCCCAGGACCTCAGGACCATGACCTGAGCGGAAGGTAGAGGCTTAACTGTCAGAGCCTCCCCGCATTTTGAATGGAGAAAGCAGGTCTGGTTGGAAGGGGTTTGCTCTGGATTTAAAGACCCAGTAAAAGGAAGGGCTCGCTCTTTGCTCCGTCTGTACTTTGGGCCTCATTTCTGTATCAGCTTTGAACCAGACACGCTTGTTTAGAGCCTTGTCAGCAGGTTATGCAAGCGAATCACCTGAGAAACGCCTGTTAAAAAAACAAAACAGCCAAGCCAGTCCTGGCGGTGTTGAATTCTGACCCTAATTTGTGTCCCAGATGGAGCTGCAGGGTGCAAGGTGCTGAGCACTCCTGCAGGGGAGATTAGGCCTGGACATCCAGCAACCAAACTTTTGTTCTGCCCTCCTCCCTTCCCCTCCAAGACCTGCCCCTCTGTGGCTTTCACACCTACCAGGCTCTGGCACTGAGCCTTCTAGAAAATCTGAAGAGACCTCCTTTTCCTGGTGAACTTCAGTGGAGTGATTTGGCTCAAAAACCTTGCCTCCTAAAAAAAAAAACATCCCACGTATTATTTTTCCCCACATTTCCCCGTGAATGGTCAAAGGAATTTGAAGATTTTGTTTTTTCTCAGGCTTTTGGGCAAACCACAGAATCTCTCAAATACGGCCTTTACAAGGATGCTGAGGGCATTATTTTTCCCCTTTAACTCTGTATATAATTTGTATTATAAAATACATTTACAGAGAGAGCTATAAAGTTTTCAAAAGTTTGGGGGGGCACCTGGGTGGCTCAGTCAGTTGGGTGTCTGCCTTTGGCTCGGGTCATGGTCCCAGGGTCCTGGGACCGAGCCCCAAATCAGGCTCCCTGCTCCGCGGGAAGCCTGCTTCTCCCTCTCCCACTCCCCCTGCTTGTGTTCCCTCTCTCGCTGTGTCTCTCTCTGTCAAATAAATAAATAAATCAATCTTAAAAAAAAAAAAAGTTTGAGGATGATGGCATCACAAAGTTAAATTCAGTTTATCGGTGCTCCTGCAGAGGCGGGGGGTGGGGGGAGGACATCGTGGGGGCAAACCCCACAGCAGCAGCTCCCTGAATCTGAGCCTGCTGGGAGGGTTTCCCAGCCCCAGGACCACTGTCTGCGAGGGCGCCGCTGTGCCTGGAGGACTACTGGAGGGTGCAGGAGGCCTGAGCTCAGGTCCTGCTTCTTGGTCACAGACGCCAGTCGGGGGTTTTCTGATAAAGTGCAGGTGCGGGGCAGAAAGGGACAGCAGGGGCGATTCCAAAGTGGCTGAAGATACCAAGGTCCCCCACTTCCTGCTTTGCTCTATGCCTAACAGCCGGTGGACACACCTGACCCCCGCCCTGCCAGGGAGTATAATCTGAGGCAACCCAGGACCACTCTGCTTCTCTTGACCTGCTTGTGTTATTGTGATTCATAATCAGAAATATATAGTTGGTGGGACACCTGGGTGGCTCAATCTGTGAAGCGTCTGCCTTTGGCTCAGGTCATGATCCCAGGGTCCTGGGATCCAGTCCCGCATCCGGCTCCCGGCTCAGCAGGGAGCCTGCTTCTCCCTCTCCCACTGTTCCCCCCCCCCCCCCCCCCCGTTTATGCTCTGTCTCAAATAAGTAAAATCTTAAAAGAAAGAAAGAAATACAGAGTTGGTCTTGGTCCTTGTTCCTGGCACAAGCTCCTAAAACCCTTTTGGAATTTCTAAGTCCTGAGAGCAGGCAAGGTGTCTTTTGTTATGCTAAGAGGCAAGCCTCCATGTTGCCCAAAGAACCAACCCTGTGATTAAAAGATTTGGAACTTTCCACCTCCCTCCAGAACTCCTGGGAGAGGAGAGGGGATGGACATTGAATTCTATTATCAATTGCCACTGGCTTAATCAATCACCCTACGTAATGATGTCTCCCTAAAAACAGGCTTCGGGAGACCTTCCAGGTTGGTGAACACACTGGAGATTTGGGGAGATGGGTGTGTTTGGAGAGGCATGGAAGCTCTGTACCCTCTCCTCAGACCTTGCCCTGTGCATCTCTTCCATCCAGCTGCTCCTGAGTTGGATCCTTTTTATAATAAACAGGTAAAGGGAGTAAAACGTTCCTCCCAGTTCTGTGTGCCGCTCTATCAAATTAACAGAACCCAAGGAGGGTGTTGTTGGAACTTCCGATCTTTAGCTGGTCCATCAAAAGCACAGGTGGCAACTTGGACCAGTCTTGTAGGACTAAGCCCTTCCATCTGTGGGATCTCCGATGCTCTCTCCAGAGAATAGTGCTAGAATGGAATTAAACTGTAGAACACCCAACTGGTGTCAGATAGCTGCTTGGTGGTGTCGGAAAACTCACACATCCCCACTGGCTGCACTGTGTACACTTCCCTCCCACCAAGCCCTTTCCCACCGCTTCTGTGGAGACTCAGTCAAAGGGCATGTTACATATGCCTCGCCTGGGGCTGGCACCTGCCAGGTCCCCCTCCCCCGCCCCCACCCCCGGCTCAGGTCAGATCCCAGGCTCCCACCTGGGGAGTCCACTGGCAGTTGCAACCTGCAGCAGCCCCCGGGGGCCAGCATCTCCCCATCTTCTAAGCCACTAGTGAAAAACGCAGCTTCCTGGTCCCACCCGAGCCTCTCAATCAAAATCGTGAAACCCCAATAGAAATGTAAAGATGGACGGAAATTAAGATGGACACACTCATGCTTTAGCAAGGCGTGACTTTAAACAAGTTTCTCTCTTCGTTCCTGAAGCCTCTCCCTCTCCCCCCTTCGCTTTTCTGTAAAATCCTTCATTCCAGGAGCTCGGTACGATGCTGATACGTAGTAACGTAGTAACAACACTCCGATGGCCAGAGCCATTTTGAAGACAGGGTAAACAGATTCCTATTGAATCTGCCCCGATCCTGCGTTTTTCTCTAAGACTCCTCAGCCTTTTTACCCTGGGTGGGCTTGCAGTCTTGGAGGCACTAGCCAGCTGCAGTCTCCTTTGCCTGGCAAAGTAATAAACCCAGACTCTGTCTTCAAGCTACCTATTTTGGCTCCGGGGCACAGCAGTCAGTTTTCAACTATTGGACGTTCTGGAAATGTTCACTTCCAACAAATGCAGGAGCTGAGACAGGAGTCTCAGCTGAACCCTATTCTGCTGGGTTTCCTGAGAACCGCCCCCCCTTCCCCTCCTTAAGACCTAAGCAGAGTTCCAGATGAATCGCGGACCCTTTCCCTCCCCTTGGGCCTTGGGGCAGCACTGGGCTCCTCGTGGTGGCTTGGGTGCCCCAGGGAGGTCCCCGTGTGAAGTCAGCCTTGGCGGGACGCTGCAGGAACCTCAAGCAAGGCTGGAAAGTGAGGGGGAGAAAAACTTCACACACAGACACGTTCCACAAATTGAGGGTTTTATTTACATTATAGACCAGGAAAAGGATACAAAAGAAGCTTCTTGGTCAAGCGTGTAAAGGCAAAGCTCTGAAACTCAATTCTCAGTAGGGTGTGGACCCGGATATTTAAAGAAAAAAAAAAAAAACTGAAGACAGAGAAACAGGCAAAAAGGTAATCTGCAACACGGATGCCCTGTCCCCGGGGGAAACGAACCCTCTGGGAGTTTGGACAAGGTCATCTTCTGTACACAGGCATCTGGCTCCCGGGACAATCCCTGCGAGGTTCTGACTGATGACATTTCTAGGCTGATTCTTAATCAGACGATTCCAATTTCTGGGCCAAATATACCTGGCCTGATAGTGTCTCCAATTTGGGGATGGGATGGGGAAGGTCTTCACCGGACAGGCCTTGGCAGCTCTGGTCCCTTCCAGGGTCACACTTCCGTTCCTCCGAGGGGACTCAGCAGACTTCTCCAGGGCGGGTCAGCATCCCTGGGCCGCCAGGGAGGGACATGCTCCGAGCCCCTCACAGGCTGCCTCCTCCTGTCACCTGTGGGCTGCAGAGGTCTGGCTCTCCCACTAAACTCTGCTTGGCTTTTCCTCCCACTTTGGTCTCTTTTCCCCGAGTCTCAGTGTGCTCAGGCCAGCTGTTATCCTCTTTCAGCATTTGAGTGAAAACAAGACCGTTTGTTTTCTCTTTTCCTCACAAATATTAATGATGCAGAACTGGATCTAAGTTCATCTTCAACCTGAGCCTCCAGAATGTCTAGCTACAACTCTCTCCTACACCGGTTCCTTTTTCTGTCCATCTGTCTGTCTTCCCCAGTCACCTTCTCCACGTTCTGGTGCCACCTGGTTGGCCTGACCGGTGAGGCATGAGCACCGAGGCCTCCTCTGCCAAGGCCTGGGGAACTGCTCAGGGCAACACGCAGGTGCTGCCGCCCACCCTACAGACTGATCAGCAACAACTATTTGGGCTTCTGGATATTCTGGCAACAGTCCGAACAGGGGCCTATCACGGGGGTTGGCGGAGGGGTACGGTAAGAGGAGCCTCCTCTTTCTTTCCCCTCCCTGGCCAATGATCCAATGGCAGTCCCTGGGTCATCCCGGGTGGAGTGTCCAGCCCAGGACCCATGCGGCACTGAGCTCTGAATCCAGGTGAGATGCGGACCAGCTTGGCAGCCCCAAAGAGGAAAGGATGCTACAAAAGGCAGCCAGCGAGAGCTCATGGGCCCCAGGGGGACTTTCAGCACCAGCCATGGCACCCCTAGCCCCCCAGCATCCCTGGTCCCTACCCGGAGCTGCAAGCCCAGCCCACCTAAGGTTTCCCAGGGCTGATAAACCAGGCCTGGCTCCCCACCTTCCGCTCCTCCTGTCCACCATCTTTCTACTTCCAGCACACCTGTCTCCTACTTACTGGTTCCTTCTCTAAATCACACACTTTCCTTGCCAGGCACCACGTCTCCCTCTCTCCCAAGACAAAACGCCTCTGGGTGGCTAGGTGCAGTCGGTGATGGTGCCTGGCAGCTGAGTCAGGAGGCCCGGCCATCGGCCAGCCACTGGCCTGGCCCGGGCCCCATGGCATGGCTCCCTCCAGCCACCTCTACACTACACCGGCCTGCCTCTGCGCCCCCTTCCTCCCACCAGGCCAGCAACACATTCCTGTCACTGGGGGGGTGGGCGGAGGGGAGGGCAGGGGGGGATCACAAGCTTTATCTGCTTTAAACAGTCACACACGTCATCAACAGTTTTCAAAGCATCCCCACCTTCAAAGAGATTTTCCTTCCTTCCTTCTTCTCAAGCCCATAATTATACCCCTGGTGACAAAGGGGTGGAGAAAGGAGCTGGGGCACATGACAAACAGCTTCTCTGCTGGCCCCAGAACCGAGGCAGCCAAGGGCTGTGAGCGCCATGTCAGCCTGCGACCCTTCCAGAACATAACAAATCGTCAAAATCCCCGTCCCGCCTTGTAATCACCCCTCCACTACCCACCCAGAGTGCTCCCGTCTGCCAGGTGTCTGCCTCCGGGCCAGCCCCCTGCCACCTCCGCATGAAGCCTTCGGTGTTTGCACACTGTAACCCCAAACCTAACATGGGCCTGATTCTCTGCGGGATTGTCCATCGGAGCCACAGGCGTCCTAGAGTCATGAGAAAAGCTCAGCGGACGGGCAGGGACGTTCCATTCCTAACATTCATCCAATGCAACAAGGAAAGACATTGATTTCCTCCAAGGATTCTGTGGGTTCAGGTCTGAGATGGTCCCAGAGCGGAGCTTCCATCCGTGCTGGTGAGTCTGCCCCCGCAGCTCCCACTAGCGGACGAACGTGACCACGCTGGTGGCTACTCCAAACGGGGCAGAGTAGGCCGCAGCGAAGCCTTGCAGGCCGATGACCACGTAGCGGCATCCCTTGGTGACCACCTTCCCAACATTCTGTTTTTCAGGAGAGAAGAGAAAAGCAAAGGGGCGTGTTAGGCAACGCTGTAGTCCCTCACACGCCATGGTGACCTACGTAAAGGACCATTCTGCCGCATTCTCTCAGGGCAAATCATCTTGCAAAGTACTTTCAAGCGCTGCACACTTCCAGATAGCTTGGATGTCCTGATTCAGAGGTCAGCGCCCCATGGGTCCCGTGCTAGATGCTCCCCCAGGATGACCCAGGGGCTGCCACTGGACCACTGGCCAGGGAGGTGAAAGCCGACAGTAGTGAGGCTGCTAGCTCTAAAACCAAACCGGTTTTGTTGCCAAAGGAGGCTCCATGCCCACCAGGGGCTTGAACTCAGGGCCCTGAGATCAAGAGTCCCGTACGTGCTCTACTGACTGAACCAGCCAGGCGCCCCTGGTTTTATTGTTAAGCCAAAGCGTACTCTTCTCTGTTCCAGCCCAGTCACTGCATCTTCTGGAAGCTGGGCCTAGTGTCCCTCCCTTCACCTTTATCTGAAAGCCCACCCTGCCGACCCTCTATCTCCAGGGCAGATTCCTGTCCAACCTGCACCCATCTCCAGAGTCTCCCACTATTCTCGGACTGCTGCATCCTCCAGTACAATGATTAACCCCTTGAAGGTAACGACTACGCCCTGCTTTCTCGCTATCCACTCCTTTTCTGTAGGGCCTGGTGCTGGACAGGGGACATCCCAGGGATTCAAATGGAATGGCAACAGGAAGCACAGCGCCCCCCCCCCGCCCACTCATATCGATGGTGCTGCCCACCCCACCCCCC